CCCCCCCAAAAGAAAAGAAAGTAAAATAAATAAAATCCCAAATCTATACACCTTATCCAAAGTCCTCCAGCATTGTCCCATGCTGACACCCGCCCCTTTCACTGTTTCGTGTATCTCTATCTCTCCATCCAAAGCCGCGAGAATTTACCACACTCCTCTCAAACAAAAACCGACAGTTGTTTGACTTGAGGTATTCACCATTTGGTACCTACCCAGCTGCCTCTCTCTCTGAACACGTCAATCGTCGCATTCACATCCGGCGAAAAGTAAACACGATCAAGGGAAACAACCGCAGTAATACTTCCCCTAAAACGTCAAAGCAGGAGTGATTATAGTGCAGACTTACGTGAGCTCTCCTTATTGTGTTTGTCGTAATGCATAGTTTGACATTTCTTGGGCGGCCTTCATTGTTCTCTGTCCAAGAATGTGAGCTCGCTGATATACCGTGGTGAGACTATTCTTCCAGTATCCGGGGACTAAGATAACAAACCTAGCACCTTACATACACAATACGTAACGCTTTGGAAAAGCTTGGAAAAAATGATAAAGCAAACAAAAGCAAAAGATAACATTAAAAACTTGAGAAAAGTCTTTTAATGAAGGAGGAAAAAAAACCCAAACGAATTATGTACTCGATATAAAGGTCTTCGAACATTCCACATGGAAAGAAAATCTTGACTGCAAGATTAATAAAATCACCAAAATCATCATGAATTAAACATGTTACAATTAGATGGCGCGGTTAGTGCGCTCGTCTCCGAAGCGGAAAGTCCAGGTTCGAGCCTCGGTTCGGACACAAGTTTTGTTCGCCCCCTCCTGCCCATCCTGCAATAATGGGTACCTGACTTCGAGTTGGGGAAGTAAGGGCAGCGTGGAAAGGAACTGGCCACCCTACCACAATATGCCGAAGGCCCAGGAAGTTGTCTCACTAACAAGGCAATCCCCAGTGTCCGAATCGGATGCTGGAACCACTTTACTTTTTACAATTAGATATGCTTGCAATAGCTAATCTAATTTTAGCATAAGCAGATTTGGATACTATTCAAATTGCGTTTCTTAAAATCACAATGTCACACGCTCTCAACGCTTACACCAAATGAAACAATATTAATCTTAACAAAGGAAAGGTGGCTTTTGATGCAGGATGTTAAGGGTTTATTTGTTCGGGGTAAGGATTATATCACCATCTTCCCCATTTTCCCGACCTTCTACAGACACAAAAGGACATCAAGCCACCTAGAATAGGGTGCTTGTTAATAAATATGTATATGTAACACAGGAATTTGCTTCTATGTTTAGTCCAACTAGAGAGTCCGAGATACTTTCAGGCTGGGCAGTGAGCGGGTTAATAACAGGCGTACAGTCACTGAATACAGAGAAAACGACGCCAGATCAAAGCAGAAGGATACACAAATTTCCATTATTAACTCCTATCTTTACAAAAGTCGCTTTGACCCAGATTCGTACATTATATAGGGGTTCTTTTCATTCAAACAGCAGTACAGGCCTAACAAAATAATATGGTCGCTTTTAAGTGCAAGGGGGCTATCCCGAAAAATTATGTTTTGAGAAAATCGAAGGTAAAGTTTTGGCCCCTTGTTTACTTTCTTTAAAAGACAAGGTGAGTTTTCTCAATAACCAAACAAATATACACACCAATGAAACCGAACTTCTCCTATAGGTAGGGCAATGCCCACTTCTGGTGTAGGTCAAGATTTCTGGAAAAACCCCTAAATCTGGGTTAGCCCGCTTGTCGTTAAAAGCGACCATATAATGTAGAATAAAGTGACACAAAATGAAACAAAAAAGAAAAGATAGCAAAAGGAAAGGTATGCGCACGTCAAGCCACTTGTGATCCAAAAAAGAGTAGAAGCTTTTCTTAGGATAGAAGAGCGTCTATGGCCAGTAATTAGCCACCCGCTCCCTGTTACAGCCGACGACGTCTCGACAGGCCAGGCTTCTCTATGTTTGTACAGCCAGTTCACCAATGTTGACGCTTCGGAGAAATCAACTCTTACATTATGTTGCCCCGAAAGGAAGAGTGGGCTATCTCCAGTTTTGATCAAAACTAGTTTAACATCACCTTTAACAACAACAGCAACAAAAAATGAAAGAAAAAAAGAATACTATACAATTTATTTTCGTCAGAGAAAGGTCTCATCCTTAAGTCAGTACATGTATTTTGAAAAATTTACTTGTTATAAAAATATGCATTTACCTGTTACAGTATTCATAATTCTACTCTCTCTGCAAACAGAACATCCCCCTTTTCTCAAAACCACTGAAAGTGGAGTTAGGCCTTTAATTTAAAAGAATGATTCAGACGAGCACATTCATGATCTTATAACAAAAACTGGCGTCTGCAAGCTCTAACAACTAAGCTCTCGACACCTGGGGATTAAAAATCTAGTGGCTCTTGCTTGTAGACATAGACTTGTTCTCCTATCCTAGACCG